ATCGTGCCTAGGAAAAGTCGAAGAGTGCCTGCGGTCAAAATCACAGACCTTGACTTTGCTGATGATTTGGCCTTAATGTCAGACACCATAGAGCAAGTCCAACTTCTGCTGACAGACCTTGAAAATGCAGCCGCACAAGTTGGTCTTGCTATGAATGCTTCTAAGACCGAGTTCATGACCATCAACATCCCTGACACTGTCGACTTACATTCCATCTCAGGCCGCCAGATTAAACAGGTTGATGACTTTAAATACCTCGGCTCTTTCATTGCGGACAGTAGAAAGGATTTCAACACAAGGAAAGGAATGGCCTGGTCAGCCTGTATTAAACTGCAAAAAGTCTGGTCCTCTGGCATTTCCGAACAACTGAAAGTCAAGTTCTTTAGAGCCTGTGTAGAACCAGTATTGCTCTATGGATCAGAGACATGGACCATAAACAAGCAGCTTGAGAAGCGCCTCAACGGATGCTACACCCGTCTTTTAATGAAGGCCAAGAACATCTCGTGGAAGAAACATCCAACCCTCAAGCAGATCTATGGCAACCTTCCATCTATTGCCTCAGTGGTTGCGTCGAGGCGTTCCAGATTTGCTGGGCATTGCATGAGAGCTTCTGACCAAGTTATCTCCACTATCCTCCCCTGGCGACTTGCCCAATCCGGCCGTGGAAGGAGACCACTCACCTTCCTGGACGTAGTAGCTCGTGACACTGGGCTCCAGTTAGACGACCTTCGAACTGTTATGTGCGATCGAGACGTGTGGAGGCAGACAGTGAATGGGATTTCGATTGAGGATCGCCCAAAGTAAGTAAGTAGTGACCGTGTATAGGGTTAATTAGGTATAAACTACAATACAGCTGTACTTACACCTACATTCACAAGCATGCAAGCTCACCTGGTCCAATATGCGGGAAACGGAGGCCAAGGTCTGTTGACGTCATAGTCACGTGACCTCATAGGCTCATAATCACGTGACCTCAGACCCAATCAATGATCAATTAGGTTCGGGCATGGTCAGCTCCCTGTCACCCGATCTGGAGGTTACGTACGACACCTCGTTTACGCAATCAATGTTTGAAAGGCTACACACGTCGCATATGAGGACAAAAGCGCGGGAAATTTTGGCACCACTGTACAGTGGTGCCAAAATCGTTGGGTGGGTTCATGGCTAGAGCCCTTTTTACCGCCGTAAGGCGGGCGCGCGCTACTGCAAGCGCAAGGGCTCTGGATAGAGCAATATTCATTAATAAATTCAAATTTCAATTTCAACCATATATATACAGCCCACCATACACACAGCTGCACACATTGTTGAGAAATTCTCAGGTGCAGCTGTAATCGCCGCGAGCAGGGTTTTGTTGTCATACGTTGTATGACCCGCCGCGCACGAAGTGCGCGGCTCCCCTGTATCGTCAGGACGTTTCACCATAGTGAAACGACCGTGGGGGTCGCAACGTGATACAAGGGTTTTGTAGGTTTACAACCTACCAGGACGCGCGCCGAGTTGGACTCGTCGACGGTCAATATACGGAACAAATATTTTACGAGTATCACCCGTTAAGCAGGGTCCCAATTAATATTTTACAATTACATGTCACAGTTATTAATAACTTGAGCCAAAATTTCAGAAGCAAAATAATTTTCAGAATAATTTCTGTCGTTCGCGCAGTACAGGCCGTGAACACTGCGATGCGAGTAGCTAGTAAACGGAGATCTACATTGCAATTTTGATATTTTACTGTACTATTTTATGTTGTATATAATTTTACGGACGAAATGATCCCAGGGGGACTCCCAACCCACCGCTTCGGCGGGTAATTGACGCACCTTTCACAAGCAAGAGCCACTTTGGTCTACTTGCTGTGAGGTGTCTCAGCTACATGGGTTGGGGGTCCCCCTTTTTTTTATTTTATTTTTTTTACATTGCATCGTAGTATAAGTGTACTGTTAACATAGTACCATGTTATAGTATTATAATATGATTTGTGTTGTATTTGGACACAGAGGGAAACACACAATAATAATATTAAGCTTTATATGATTCATTAAGGGCTCAGAGTAATTATACTTGTTCAAATTTAAATAATAGGTCGAAGCATAGTCAAGCACTTGATATAATATTGATTTGTCTATCTAGCTTTATTTTACTGGGCCGCGCTCAGCCTGTCATTCCGCCGAATCTCTATTATGTATATGTTTATGAACATAATAGCCTGAGGTCTCCAGGTAAGCTTTACTGTCCAAAAACTGATCTGACTCCTTGAAAAAGAGGGATCGAGGCTACTCACAAGTTTTTTCAGCTGTTGTGAGACCATAAATACGTGTTTGATTATTTTATATTGTTGCCAGTGAGTCAGTCAATTGCATTTTATCATCTCATACTATACCCTTACTCACCTTTTAAAGTCCTTTCTTGATCACAAATATTGAGAAAAGACAATTATATTATTTATCACCAATTTAATACACAATTTAGTGTTCTCGACTTCTGGTGGAATGGGTGGTGAAGCTGAGAGACTGGTCAAGAAGCTGGCCAGTAAGATGGAGTACCACACTGGCCAGAGGTACTCAGACGCTGTAAGATACATCAGAAAGCGCCTTCGCTTTGAAATCCTTAGAACAACAGTGATTTCTCTCCGTGGAGACAGAGGTGCAAGAAAAAACATTGTTGATATAAACAGTCTAGATTTTAACTTGGAGCCACAAGGCCAAGGGTAATTTTTGATTGTTAAGGGAATTTTTTGAATTCTTTAAGGGTTGATTTTATATAGGGTGATTGCTATATTATGTGTATATTGTTTGAATAATTTTATATTTCAAAAAAATTTAATACACAATCAATCAATAAATATATATCCGAATAAACTTGATTTCAAAGTAAATGATACAAGTATGCTAGCAGCTAGCGCACTTGTATTTAATAATAATACATGCTGTTAAAGTGGGTCTGACCACACCGCCACTCACATTACCACAGCTGGTGAAAGGACCCAGGCTCTATCAAGCTTTTATGAGCCCTGGTTGGCTGCCGAGAGTGGCAACGGGTCTGACAATAATTTTGTTTTCCTTATATTCCAGTTAAATTAAGTTATATGATTGTCATGCGATATTTAAGTCACAGCTGCTCGCAATACATTATTGATTATAAAATTGTTAAATATGCTCGCTATACACTTTTAGATACCGAATGTATATGTTCATATTAGCTCATAATAGCAAATACCAATAACAAATAAAATATAAGCATGAAGAGGTCCAAAAACAACTCAAGCATGACACCAGATTAAAACTAACATTGAACACATTGTCATCGGAAGCTGCAAGCTTATTATTGTATGATTCCATGTTGATCCGTTATTATGCAGTCACCTTCTGGCAGTGTCGATGGATCATGCGATAAGGGCTTTTGACAGGCTGTGCCAGCGCCGTCTGGGGGGGGGGGGGGGGGGGGGGGGGGGGGGGGGGCGCCAAATCGTCGTTTGAATGTGGGACAGTTTCGAAAACTTAACTAAAGTACTAGCAAAACTGCGCGTTTTGATTTTACCAGCTTATCCTCTAAAATCACCTAATTTGTTCAATTTTAGGGAGGGGCACCAACAGGGGGGCGTTTTTTTCGGCCGTGGGGGCGCTTTTTCGGCGGGGGGGGGGGGGGGGGCGCCAACAGGAAACGTTACGCCACTGGGCTGTGCTGTGCCCGCATTTGTGTCAATCTGGTAGGTAGCGCTTGAGTAATTTAGCTACAAAAACATAAATCGCACGTTACGTAAAGTATCATTTTTTCCCTGCAAATAATGTGAACAGTACACCTGTGTGTAACCTGCTTCAATGGTTTGTGTGCTTGTGTGGTGGAGTGAGTGTAGAATGTAATGATTGACTGAATCTGTTTCTTTTGTGGTGTATATATATATTATATTATATGATGTGAGTGACAGGTGTAAAATGGAAAAAAGACATGAATGACAGTCTTTTCATAGGAATGTGTTCAAGTTTAAGTCTTGCCAGTTAATATTGTCAGGTTGGTGTTGAGCCTTCATGATAGAATGCTTCAATCGGGATTTATTGAGCGTAGTGAACCTATTTTACCACTTGCATATTCTTCAATATTACCACTTTAACCCATTATCTTCAAAGGTTATCATGGATAGTGATTTTGCTACTGGAGAAGATACAGCATTCGTGTATGACGAAATCAGCAACATCATTAAAGAAGCTATCGAAGCAACTATTGGAGGCAATTCATACCAGCATAATAAAGTGAACCAGTGGACCAGTAATGTTGTTGAGCAATGTCTTAACCAACTTACTAAATTGGGCAAGCCATTCAAGTACATTGTAAATTGTGTGATCATGCAGAAAAATGGAGCTGGTCTGAACATGTCCAATTCTTGCTACTGGGACAACACAACGGATGGAAGCTGCACTGTTCGATGGGAAAATAAAACAATGTACTGCATTGTTAGCATTTTTGGTCTTGCTATCTAGGTTTTGTCAACTAAAAATAACAATGGAAACTGTACAATCAGCTATGATATTTTAAACCTAGGACCAAGCAGCCATCTCGATTGACTGGACAGTGAACGATTGGTGATAATGAGTGAGGAAAAACAGCAAACTCATTCATTATTTATATTTGTGAAAGTATGATTTTCAGATCCCTTGAAAACAATGGATTGGAGCTCTTGTTAAGTAATGCATTTTTAGTGGGCACCAGCCTTGTCTTTTCATTGGCTTGCAAACAAGAATGCCACTAGATGTTCAAAAGTTGTTATTGAATGTTTTTTTCTTTCTTATTGTGATGTTATCATGATAAATTATAACTCTAATTTGAACATTGTTATCAATTATTTGCATTTGGTTTGATTTCTAAATTTCCATGAATAATTACATGATTTCATTCAAACTGATGATGAAGACTAATTCCTGGATTGCAATTCTTGCAAGAACATCATTGACTGGTTTAAAATTTACAAAATGGTTTAAATTGGTGTAACGTTATTCTTTCTTAGATTGGATGTATTAGATGGACCAGTACATTCGATCTCAGCTGCTGAGTGCAGTAAACAATCAGGACAATGAAAAATTGATTGCAACTTACCAGAAAATCAAAGCAGAGGGTGAGTTTTTATTGCTTCTGTTTGCAATTTTGCCGTTAAGGGGGGGGGGGGGGGGGGGGGGGGGGGGGGGGGGGGGGGGGGGAAGGGATCATGAGTATTTTTGAGAGCCAAATTCTCATTCTCAAAAATTATTCTGAGTATTTTTGAGAAAAGTTTCCAAGAGAGGCGAAAAACTCATTCTCAAAAATTGATTCTCATCTCAATTGGACCACATTGCACTGATATGAACAATGATTTGGTACTATATCACTATTTTTGAGTGGAAAATTTTTGAGAAAATGAGAAATCCATGATGAATATTCTCAGATTCAAAAATAATTTTTGAGACATTTTTGTGTATTCCCAGCGAAAATGGTCAAATTATCAGATTCAAAAATTCTCAAAAATACTCATGATCCCCCTGTATAATATTGTTTGCCTTTCAATCTCTTCGCCTAATTTGTGTACTACTAAAAAAAGGGGGGACCCCAGCCCCATTCCAACCCATGTAACTGAGACACTTCACAACAAGTAGACCAAAGTGGCTCTTGCTTGTGAAAGGTGCATCAACTACCCGTCAAAGCAAAAATATCCTACGATCACGAAAGAACAGAATCATATCTTTAACTTTGAGATTTTCCCTGAGTTTGCCATGTTCGAAAAACTTGCTTGCTTGGATAAACAACTTATATTATTTGCTATTAATTTGCTATCAATTTCAATGTTGTCTTTTCAGGCCACAAAGGAGCAACAGAGACCCTCAGTCCCGACCTTTTTGTGATATGTGCTGAGTCTGCCATTAACATCAACCTAGTGAAAAATCATGAACTGATTGAAGAGGCTCTTATCTTTTACATCACCTTGAAGCCCAAAGCAAACCAGTTTTTAGCAAGGAGCTATCTTTGTCATGCTCACCTACATAAGCCATCCTCAACAAGAGATATTGATAAATTACAAAAATGTTCCAATTATATCCTCAAGGCAATCGAGTTTGGAAAGAAGAACTCTCGATATTATTTCCTTGTTGTTAATGCGTCCATTTTGTTCTGGAAACTTGCCAGACCATTTCTTGTGCTTCAAAGTATTCATCATGTTGTCAACACGTTAGGTGCTATTGTGAAAGCGTTGACATTTATTGATGACCACAACAAAAAGTGGCTCTTGAGTCTGAGCGTATCTTACATTGAGAGCCTGTACAGGAATAAACAAAGTGATTTAGCATCCAAAGAGACAAAGATAGCGATTAAACTGGCCAAAGCGAAATGCCAGGAGCAGCTTGTTGAAATTATCAGTAAGCTGTCTAGCTATGGCCTTGTTACTTCAAATGACATGGTGGATCTTAACCTGAACCTGATGATCATCTATGAAATCAACACTTTGAAGTCCAAATTAAAAAGTGACCCTTCAACGGATAAGACTAAAATATCCAAGACAGTTACAGGTATCATAGAGAAAATCACGAAAAATTCTTTTAAGCTTGATCCAGATACTAGGAACGAATTACTTCTAGAATCACTCGCAATCACCTTACAGCATCGTCTACCTGATTTATCTCAGCAGTGTCTTGACAGCATGCAACAACCATTTACTGATGTCAACTTCGAGTTTCGAGTGAAATTTGCTGAAGCTGATCTCATTGTGAAAAAGCTTGGAAAGGAAGAGGAGTCATACAAGAAAAGTATTCTTGATGTGCGTGTTAAAAGCATTCTTCAATGTCATGAAGCATTGGTGGCTTCGATCAGAGACTGTGACTCTCTCACTGTACAATCAGGATGTATTACTTTGTGGAATTTGTGCTTACCAATGCTGCAGCACAATCTTCGTCACCAGATTATCGAACCTCTCAAGCTGATTGTCAATTCTCTTGAAGATCTTCAAAGTATGCTGGTTCTCTTGAGATGTCAGGTCCACATTGAGCTGGCTAAATGCTACCAAGATCAGCAAAAACTCATCGAGGCTTTGGATAACTTCACCAAAGCATTGAACTTGGATCCCAATGATCAGTACAAAAACACAATTTTGTACCACATGAAGTGCATCGACTTGAAAACTAATCTTTATAAGAAGCCTGATACAATCGAGGAAAAGGCAGGATTCCTTTTAGAGCAAGCTAAGTCTGCAAAAAATGCTAAAGCAAAGCTACAACCTATCTTGTTAAAAGTTGGAGAATACCTTGCACCTCATACTTTCAATTGGGGGATTAAAGAGCTTGGTGAAAACAGTCAAAACTGCTCCTCGTTCATCGTTTTGAGAGACAAGATAACAAAATACCGAGAAGCAAAAGAAAAAGGTGTCTCTGAAATGAACAGGTTGACCGAATCTAACACTCACGAACGGTTCATCCTTTGGGCAGATACTGCTAAGCTAGCAAGAAAAGAGGAGGTTTGGGACGTGGCTCTCACTGCAGCTAGATTTGCATTGTGGTTTGAAGATCGTTATGCTTTTCAACCTCTAGATGAAGATGAGTCAGTCAGAAAGTCCAACCACAGTAGAACGAGCTCGGTAAGATCCGACAGACAAGGGACCAAAAATACTGGGAGATCGAATTTATCAAACTTTGATAAAGCAAATGCTATTCTTCTTTCAGAATTAAATTTCATCTTTGCTGAGTCGCTGATATACTTCCTCATGCAAGAGAAGATTGCATTGGGAGAGGGGCCGAGCCTTCCAAAACAGATTGTTGCAAATGAGGCAGACCTTACCTCTCATATTGACTATCCCCATTGGGAGTCATATTGTGAATGGGTTAAAGAAGTCCAGGAGGAATGCATTGACCATTTCATAAAAGGTGGTCAGCAGGGTACTGCTTTGAAAGAGTGGTGGTTAGTGAACAACTCTTGTGTCTATATTTGGAATTATCTGAAGCAGACAATCGATAAAAACAACCACAACAAAGTCATAGATTGGCTCTCTAAAGGGTACAACCTCCTCATGTCCTCCAAAGGTGGTGTCGACTTTGTTCTTGTTTGTCAGTTTGCAGAAGCCTTGGTCCAAGGTTATCTCACTAAACATAAAGTTGCCAAGCTGTTGAGTGGATCTACCTCTCCAAGCCTTTCTAGAAAAGGCTCTCCATCGCGAAAGGGTTCTCCCTCAAAACCGAAGTCAGGCAAGAAAAGCGTAACTCCTGTCGCCAAAAAAGGTGGTGCCAAAAAAGATACAAAAGATGCTATGCCAAATGTTGATCCTGTTATTGCTGAGGACATAACGACAGCTATTCAGATATCTGAACTTGTTTATCAGAAAATTGTTGGCAACTCCAAGGTTGGTCTACATAAAAGGAAGTCTTTGCTTTGCTTGTGGGTGAAATGTAAACAAGTGCTTGCACAACCTCTCAAGAATCTGCTCCCCGAAGATGAAAACACAGATAGTTTTTCTGTTGCTTGTAAAAGTATTGTTGCTGTTGAAATGAATCATATGAACACTAACCAGTATTATGTGTTCCCCAATACGCCAACTATGCAAGAAACATTGAAGATGATTGATAGCAGTGATTGGAGTGATAAGTTGATTGAGTTAGAAATTTGGACGAAACTTGCATCGTTGTCCCTAAAACTCTCAAATAAAGAATTGATCGACAATTGCTGTGCTAAGATCTCAGAGCTTCAAAATCATCCTCATTTTGCACGACCAGGCTGCAGGGTCACCGCCAACAAGCTATTGTGCTACCACAACCTCATTTTAGGTAAATCTGAGCTATCATTTGCCATTTCTGAGACTTCCATCACTGATCGTTTACCTGCATTCAATTTGTTCACAAATGCAGTTCTGGCAGCTGAGCAAGCCAAAGACTATGAGCTTGCTATGGAAGTTATGCAGCATTTCTGGAATGCGATACTACCTCATTTGCAGAGAAGCAATGGAAGAGGTCCTCTGAAGGAAAATCTTTTAAAGGTACTAAAGGTCATTGCTAATCTAGCACCTGATAAAAATCAGAAACTGGTCGAGATTTCTCCTAAACAACAAAAAGAGATCGATCTCAGAGCCCATCTTTATGGTGCTCTGTTTATCATATTTTTAGATGAAAAGAATTGGAGCTCAGGATTGGAAGAAGCAGAGAGAGCAGCTCTTTCAATGCCAAGACCAACCCATCCTCTTATACTGAAGTATAGAGCACTTTTTAAGGTCAATCTTGGTTTATCCCCCAATGGTGACCTAGCCAAATTGGAGAGGATTGAGACTGAAGACACAGTATCTGACATGTGGCACAGGGTTGCAATGTCATCTTCTAATAAAGAGGAGCAGCTCTATGCTCTTCAACAGTCCATCATGCTTCTTCAAAACCCTCAGCTACGAGTGAAGAAAATAGAGAGCATTACTAGGTTTGCAGAGTGGCTTTTCATTAATCAATATCCAATCAATGATGTGCTAGACCAGCTTGAGTGGGCTTTGGATATTGCTGTCGGTTTGAAAAGTGAAGAGAAAGGCACAGTTTTGATGCCAATAGAAGAACAAGAAGATCTAAAGTCAAGAAGCATCGCACATACACTTAGTGTCACACGGACAAGGCAAACAATGTCCACATTGACAACATCTCTGAGTGAAGAGAAGGTAGACATCATTAGCAAACCAAAACCATTGTTAATTTATGTCGATGAAGCAATGGAATCTTCAGAAGAGATGCTGGATGTTCAGAGGGGTGAGCTGATGGCAAGGATCTTAGTCATTAGATCTAAGATGGTGCTTCATTCAGGTGGCAATGTTAAGCACTCCATGTTGCTTGCTTACAATATGTATAAAAAGGTTTTACAGACATGCCTGATGAATTTAGAGGATACCCCAGCTGCTGAAGAGAAGCCAATGACTGGAGATGGAAAGCGTGCTAAAGGTGGGAAGGCTGGAGGAAATGTGAAACAAACAACAAAATCACAATGTCAAATCAGTTTCCCAGCGAATTTAGCCGATTGGGCTTCATTCAGACTTCCTGAAAACATCGTTGAAATGCTGCACGATAAGCAAAATACGGTAACTGTTAACAAAGTTACATTTCCTCACCCAGAACTCAGCTTATTTTATCTGGAAGAGCTCTGTAAACAACTTCAACTCTTTGGTTTTATTGACCATCTCCTCCCTCTCTATGCGATTCAAGAACTTCTTGCAGTTTCTGTGTTAAATAATCCAGATTTGGTAAACTTGATTCATTACAAAGCTGCTTGGACATGCCAGAGACTTCAGCTTCCTCAAGGTTTCAACCATCATCTAGAGCTTGCAGTTTCTGTGCCAAGTAAGGAAGAGTTTGTTGGCAACCAGATCGATTTGGAGTTACATAAAACAGGTGTCAAACAGTCAACGCAACTGCCAATGGGATTAAGCGAAGAATCAAACATGGCAAACAACATTATTTCTGAAATCAAGCTTTGTGATATTCAAGTGAAGAAAGCAGAAATATTTATTCAATCAGGTGACTTCAAATCAGCAATAACTATGCTGGAGCAAGCATTACCATCTATTGAGTTTACTTGTGGTTCCAGGTCAAAGACAAGATATCATAAAGCTGCTGCTTTACTTGCTGCTTCCCAAGCTAACTACAGCTCAGCAATGGAGCACTTCCTTCAGATTCAAAGATCATCGAATGACTTGGATACATCTACTGATCTTATGATAAAGATAATGGAGATCCTGGTTAAAACAAGTCCCCAATCCGCTGACAATGTTTCACTTAGATTTATAGAAATGTTGCAAGACCTTCAGGCAAAGTACAAAAACCACTCATGCCAAATTCAGTTCATCATTTCTCAGCTAAGCTGCATTGTAGTAAAAGCAAAAGTAGAATCTATGTTGAAAGACGATATGGACACAGGTGAGATTGAAACACTGTTGACTCTCTGTAAGGTTTATGATAAGCCTATAACCATATTCTCAACTCTAGGATTTAAATTAGATGCTTGTTGGGCTATGTACTGGCTCAGCAAAATTAAATTCAGACTGTCAATCCTGGAAAATGGAACTGATTTCCACAAATGCATGTTCTTGGAGGCGATTGAAAGCTCACAGAATGCCCTGAAAATGGTCCACAAAGAGATGAAAAGTATGGCAGACCTAGGTGTAGTTGATGCTAAACTGTCTCTGTATGTTAGATGCGTCGTTGATCTACACTGTCACTTGTCCAACATGTATCATCATATCTCAACTGATGTCGTTCTTGAAGAAAAGAGGTTCCGTATTGCTGATTCTCAAAAAGATTATATTGATAAGAAGATTGAAACCTATATCGCTGAGCCAGTCCTGTTATCTAGCCTTGATGAGCGCTGGCAGAAGATGTGCTACAGTGCGATGGAGTTGTGTAAAATGCACAGTGATAACGCAACGAGGATTTGTCAGAAGCATCATCTTGAGTTCAGCTCAAGGCCTCAACTTAAGCTAGGAATTGCTTTCGGTGACTCTTCAGTGTCATTCTTTGAGGATAGTTTAGATCCTTGGAATCAAGACATGTCCGGTGAAGAGATAGTCACACGTGACATTCAGCCAGAGATTATCTCACTGAAATACCTCACATCCTCGATGGAATATCTCACTCAATCAGTTCAAATATCGTTATTGAAACAAGATCACATGACTCTTCAACAAGGTTGTTTAGAAGTGATCAACAGATTGGGTTACAATGCACCTCATATATCTGCACAGTACCTTTCTCTTTACCAAAGCTCTGTTGTGTCCGTGTGGTTAAGAGATCTGCTGAAACAAGCACTGCATTGGCCGAGTAAAAGTGAGATTGGGTCACTCATTACTCAGTTGGAATGTGCTTATGAGAGTAAGAATTATCAGTTGTATAACCAATGCTTTGAGGAGCTCACCAAGACCAACTCCTCCTGGAAGAAATTGTTGGTATTTGAGAATCACTTCGATTTGCTAAAAGAGCTTGATGAAAAGCAATACTTTTTAATCCTTCAACATTCTCCTTGTAAGAAATATCTTTACTCCGGCTTCGTCCAAGGTACGAAGACTGCAGGTAAGAGTGCTCTGGAGGGTCCAGTAATGAACATCTCTCGTTGTGAAGTCACTTACGAGAAGCTGGAGAGCATCCTCCGAATGTATGAAGCTTACAAAGCAAGCGTCCACAAGTACATGTTGAAGTTAGTCCATTTCTTCAGACTGGAAACACAGACCGAGCAGCGAAGTGTTTTGTTGAACCAACTTGGTGTTGTGGAAGGTAACGGAGCTCTGGAGGATCTGAAGACAACACTTGAAGAGGAGAACTCGAGGAACTTGACGTTTTACCACAATATTATCACAGAATTGTGGGACTATGTCATGCCAGCTGTTGAGGCATTCAATATGGAATTCAGACAAATCCAAGACGAGGAGGCTAGTTTTGTTCTTCTAGCCGACATCGTTCTTCAGAAGTTACCTATGGAAGCGTTACCGATATCCAAAATTGGTAACTTGAAACAGTTCACGAGGGACTTTTCATTGCAAACTTTCTACCATAGGATGCTCTCTTACACAAACTCTAAAGCTGGTGAAAATGGTGGTGGAGGTGGAGGTGGAGAAGGTGGGAAGAAGGGTACTAAAACCCCAATAGGATCTGCTAGAGGGGAAAGGACAAAAATGCCTTTGGAAAAGAGATTGATGGCAGACAAGGTGGCTCTTCTTCCGCCAGTTTTGGACTCAAATAATTTCAAATACATGGTTAACGACGACGGTGGAGTGAAATGTGGAGACTCAAACATGACCACAGAAATAGCAGAAATGTTGAAAGTTACCCAGGCAAAGACAGCTCGATGGTCTGGAACTCTGATCACGAACAGTCAATGCAGTCCAGTGGAGGTGCAGCAAATCCTCCACAGCTCATCAGGCTTCCTCTACTGTGGACTTGGCAAACTCAGTGGACTTATTTCTTCTGAGCTTTTGACTTGCTTAAACTTAACTGATAGTCACGTTCATATCATCGCAGACAAAGTAACATCAGCTCATTCATTGAGATACGAAGCTAAAGCTGACCAAGATAAGGACAAAGAGATACTTGCCCTTGAGACTTCTCTTAATCTTGCTGGACTGTTTTACCTAAACGGAAGTGTCCTAACACTTATCAACAGTGACGAAACTAACTCTGATAACAACGTCAAGTTTGTGTCTTCTCTTCTGAAGACAGTGGTAGAAGGTGAGATATCGTTAGGCTCTGCTTTATACCTCACTCGCTTCCCTCCTCCTCCTGAAGCTGCTCCTGCAGCACCGGTAACTCCAGTAGGAAAAGGAGCAAAAGCTAAACCTGCCAAACAGAAATCAGACTCTGGTGCGGATGCTACCCCTCAGATTCCTATTGAGATCACCATGCCTGAGTCATTGGATCCGAGTGTGTTTAACTTGGCAGCTTTTGGCGTCCCTCACATTACTCTCGGTGAAGCTGTTCCAGCTGCAGGAAAGAAATAAAGTGAATGAACTGAATTTGTCATGCAACTGAGTTTCGTTGAAATTGCTATAAATTATTGTACTTTCAAGCTGTACTGTGTACAGTTTATTTTGGTGATTTCATAACTACCGTGTAACCTATTTTTGCACTTTCCAGAAAGTCTCACTTTTTCAAAAATTCGGGCATAATGAAACATCAATAGCTATAGTTTTGTGTTAGAAAAGTTATCAGATTTCTTGATAGATTATAATATTTAATAGTAAATTACTTGTATAGTTGTCCAATAACGATTGTTTAATAAGAGATATTTTTAATTTCTTTCAGTCCTGAGAAAATAAAGTTGTCCAACATATTTTTTAGTTTATTTCTTAGTTTATGAGAGAAGCTCGATAAACTAATAAAATTCGAATAAGAAAATTTCACAAAAATTAATTATAACGATAACAAACAGTAAATACTAAATAGTCAATTCCAATATAGATCAACTTGATAATATCCAAGTTTAACACCGTTCCTCCTCCTCCTCCTCCTCCTCCTTCTTCAAACAGCTTGCCTCCTCGTTATCTCTTGATTTCTCTGCCTTTTCTTTACGACACCAATTACTAAAGCAGTGTTTCTGGATGGCAAACACGAGCATCTGTACAAAGTCTATGAGGGTGAAAACGCTGGCACCCATCAAGAGACCCATCACTCCGCCGATATCTCCGAGTAGGTTGGCGGAGGTGTACGTTACCACCTGGTAAAGTAAAGGTTTTAAACGTGAATTGTTTGCTCGTTTTTACAATATTAAGCAGTAAAAATCCCTCAGCTCTTAGCATATATTCATAATGACATAATCATTATGGCAGATGGATGTAAATGTTCGATAACGGTAATCACGGGAAAGTTGTTCCAATTTTTGTTCGCTGTTATACCTGTCTGATTTCGGTAGTTATCATGCTTGTAAAGAGGATCTCCATGACCACCAGATTTTCATGAATATCTCTGTGACTTTCGTATGTGATATTGAGGTCAGGGTGTGAGAACTCATTCAACAGGCCTGGAGGGAGTAAAATGTGAATGGGCTTTATCATGCCAAGTTAATTTATGTCATAAATTGTCCTTTCCCGACCGGTTTAGCATCTTAATTGATTGGTTCAGGAAATCTGAAAATGACCATAATATCAACATGATGTACTATCAAAATGTTTTAAGTGAGATAAAATGTACCTTTAATAAAAGGGTGACTGTGTACTGAGCTCACGTAAGGGTGTGACAGTGCTGAGCTTGACAGCTGTGCCACATACCTGAAACGTGACTTATTAATGGTAACATAATTTAGCATTGTATGTGCTTTGGTTGTCTTGACTTCCAAAATTATGGCATTGTTTTCCAAGGCTGCAGTTTTAAATTGATCGACAATAGTAATTTTCACATTATCATGCAAGCAGGCTACGCTATGTCACGTGACACTGAGACGCCACACGTTTTACTGAGACGCCACACGTTTTACTGTGACGTCACGTGATACTGTGACGTCACGTCCACTTACCGTGTTTGATTACAAGCATTTGGACAAGGGCAGATATTTTCAGCCAGCTCTGGGTTCATGAACGCCTTGTTGAAGTCCATGTAGGCCTTGAGGCCACACTGTGCCCACTGTTTCAAAGTGCAGGATTGGTAGCCCAGGTTGTTGAGTGGAGGTTCAATGTTCACACACCCGCAAGTATCGTTCAAATACCTGGAAGAATTAATGTTGAAAGTAAATGACACAAGCCGAGACATTGGCTAGGATAATTATGTTCTGTGGGGTAAAATGATATCGTTATCTAGATCACTCCCTTCTTTTAGCGTTATCTAGATGGCTAGATCCCTTCTTTTTTAAATATCCGAGTTACAAACCTGTCTTTACATTCCAAGACGCAACTCCCTTCATCGTATGCCCCATAAGTTGTATGTACTAGAGAAGCGTTACAATTACCGCTTGGCGGCGGCTTCCGTATCTGTTTCGACAGCTGGAGATCTACCTAAAGAATCATGAAAAAAGTAAAGAAAAATTCTTTAAGTTTATGTTAAAATTGATTTATTTGCAAACAGTTAAAAACATAAATGGATATCAGTTTTAGCCTTTGGGAACGGTGGTGTATTGTTTTCCTGTCGTTCATTTTCTGATTCAATAAATAATAGATATTGAGCGACTAGTGACTCGACCAATGTAAGTGAAGAAATGTATACTTCTTCTAAAACTGATTTTGTCATGAATATCATAATGAACTGAAATGTGAACTACATTATATAATTAAATTATGTGTTCAACTATAATTAGTAAGTATTCAGTAAATACTTACTAATTACAATTTAACACATTCCATCTCATTGTCACACTGTGACAATTCACGATGAAATAGTTTCATAATTGAAGAAGTATACGTTTTTTCACTGATATACTACTATTCACAGTGGATATCACACCTTGTAGATTGATCCGGGACTCATGAAGTACCCAGAGCTGAGTGACATACCATATGTGGCATTATCGTGGAATGCTACAGTAAAACCGTGCTGTGGTTGATCTGCTGTCCTGAACCAATCCAAGTTTTAAAAGATTATTTAAATTAAATTTATTTAGATTATTTAATAACTTCAACAAATTCAAGAGCACAAAATCTGAAGGGTGCGTTGATATCCATATTTGGGTTTTATAAGATACTCATAACTTACGAATTTGTATGATATAGATTATAGAAAAAGAATCATAAATGGGTGGCATACTACTTTGCAGTACAAGTTATAAACCGAATGCTGTAGTCTTTGAGGTCTGCGAACATGAGAATCTTCATTTTCCCGTAATCTCCACTCTTACCACGTATTAGCCCAGCAGGGTTCACTCTCCAACACACTCCTGACAGTTAGAAAATTAGAAAAATCACGAGATCAGAATAGAGTGTTTGGAGGCGGTGCACAGTGCACACTGATGAAGAATGTGCCATCGAAATTTACAAGGACTAAAATTAGTTGAAACACTAATTGATCGGCAAACATGTGCTTTTATGAAGAACAAAAGACTTCAAGGCAGTATGTGTAATTTACCTGAACTGGTGACATCTCTAGTGAAGTAGTGCTCCTGCACATTGTCCACCCACTTCTTACAGAAGTCAGCACGCTGCTCGCACATCAACAACCTGTTGTCACTGTGACCCCCCGCTGCTATCAGATCCTGTAGTTTAACATGTTATTAATTACTCAGTTTCTACTAGAACGTAGTCACTGGAAATGGGATGGACCAATAGGATTGATCAGGTGATCGGTAAACCCTACAGACTTATAGTTATGGATACTTAGAATGTTTTGAATGTTAGATTGTATTAGTATGACAAATGAAATTGTAGTCGAAATGAAATTTTTGAATTTGGAACTTTAAGGTTTAATTTGTTCCATGGCCTTGTTTTTCTACATAGTACTTACTCTTAGTTTCACTTACATAGACTGGAAAAGGGACGCTTAGGTGTGGCAGTGGGATAAAGTAAGAACACGTGACAATTGAACATGCTAATCAATATAAACAGAATATTACCTGGTATGTCATGTTCTGTAATTTGACCATATTTGGTTTGGTCCAATTAATGTTTGCAGCCTTTTCCGTGTTATACTGATCGACCATTTCCCAATAATCGTGTACAGCCTCATTTCCTTCTGCTTGTAAATAACTGCCAGGAAATTAATGGTTAAGTAGTTAGTTTAAATGGTATTAATGTGTTAGTGACTGGTTAATCGTGTCTCAAAGTAAGTATTAAGTATTTAAAAATACCATATTATTTCAAAGGAAATCTTGCATAAAAACAACCAGATCGTGATCGATTACGTGACACTGACGCGTCACGTACCGTCTAGCTAGGGTCTTAAATAAAATTTATATCGAAAAATGATAAAGTTCTTTACCTTTTTTTGACCTTGTTGTGACTGCAGATGGTTATGGTTGGAAACTTTATAGACTGTGGTTTAGTCCCCTCAAAGTCATTCAGCAGCACTTCATACTTAGTTCCAGTTGGTTTGTTGCTGTAGGTTACAATCGATGTCATCACTATGTAGATAGTATACACTACACACGCAATCCATGACAGGAGGAATAGTAGCCTATAGGAGGGGAGATATTTAGGGAGGTGTTAGGTAAAATTTTGTCTGATGGCACTGCAGCTGTTTCGGTCTTTTGTCACAACTGTGCCATCAGTCTAGCAATTAAAGACAGTGTTTTAATTGAGAATGTGACTGTTTATGAAATAATATGATAATAATATATTGAAATAATCTACTAGATTATAACAAAAACTTGTGTTACCTCATGAATTTGTTTCTTCCTGCGAATATCTGTTTAACCCCATGAGCGTTAGTGGTGCTGGCAAATACCCGGAAATCATTGAGCCAGCTGTCAGTATCCCCCTCCTCTTCCATTAGTTCCTCTCACACAGTCGTCAAGAACTACTGTACCCATCAAATGATAATGTTATTAGAAAATTAGTAACATCAAGTTTAAAAATATCCTCTACGGTATGGTGATCTATTACAGGAAGTTTTTTTGGCTGCCAGAAAATGGTTGAAGCGACAAAAAAGGTGATGAAATCGAAAAAAAAACTCTGATAAGAAATCCATACAGTCTGAAACATTTCACATTTAATTTTAATAGGCTTCAATTTGAACACTAGTAAAATATTGGCCGTAAGACCCCCAATGGTCGAACACCAAATATTTTGAGGCTTAAGAAGTTAAGTATGAGCAAACTTTAATAAAACCTAGAGTTGTTACAGCCATCCTAATTGCCAAATTTGGCATCTAAAAATATATCACATATTGCCGAACAAGCCCATACGACTCGTGATAATTGTTCCTGCCCTTTGATAAGTTCAACACGATCGATCGTATCTCATTAACCTATAATTAGAGAGCATATAATATACCTTTACGAACACGCCTTAGACAATTTAATTTTCAAAATAGCTTTTAAAATGTTTGTTGTATTTGTCCATCAATTTAAAATGTAAATGTTTACCTAAGATTTGATAGGGGAACTCTTTATTGTTCAGTCTTTTTTTCCAGTTACGATCTACTATATACTATTTATTTATCATTTGAAGCAACGCAGCCGTCCATCTTGTCAATATTAGTCATAATCATAAACGTTTTGATTGAACTACTCGATATCCCGCCAATAAATCAGTAATGAGACCATTATACCCGTGTTTTGTCGATTTAAATGTGCAAGGGTCGGCCTGAAGTTGGCTATAAGTTGACATATAACAGATGGGTAGAAGTGATTATCAAGTCATAATTACATAATTAGAAGCAAGTTCAGCTGGAGTGTAGTTTGGTAAATGTGATCTTGGAGTTACACAGAAAGACAGAAGGTAGCCGCGGGCTTCAGTAGGTCCAGTACTAAAGTATTTTAATAAATTATCTATATTAGAACGTTTCAAAAGAATCGGGTGGTACAATTTAAGTATTTTAACAACTGTTGAAATTGTTTAAAGGTGTGCACTTATGCATATTTAAATATAATTATAATCCTTCAGTGAAGAATAATGCATTGCGATAGAATGCTTAAATTGAAAGTTATTTATTGAAACAATATTTTAAAATTTAATAGATCTTCTCAGCTTGACAGTTAGACAAAATAAAAACGTATATAATGACTGATAAAACGGAATAATTATTTCGAACTACGTAAATAAGTAATAGTCGTCTGTTTTAATAGTCTAATTGTTCAGCAGAGATAATCCGCTGAGCTCCAGAAAGCCAGAAAATCTCGTATGCAACCAATAAACGACCAATCTATTGCAAGTGAAACAAGGAAGATTAACATTGACACTAGGTCGAGTCTCTGACCGGGGTGCTTTCTTATGAATCGTTTATAAGATTGCTAAAAAAACGTTTAAAGAATATCTCATGGTACTTCTGAGTTTTTAGATTTTTTACCGGCTGTCAGAGGCAAGCTTACGGACTATTAGGACCTTTCTTGACCTAGCTACGATGCTAGTCCTCTCGGCTGCTTGCTTGCCGCGCCAGAGCAATGAAACAGAAGATCGATTTAATACTTTTAAAAACTAAGGCGACTAATTTGAACTGTCAGGCATTCATTAAATTGCCTTTTAGTCTCTGTAACATTTTTTCCAAGATATCCACTCATCACGACATCACAGCTGCATTGTCAACGGAGCCGCAAATTAATGAATGGAAATTTAGGAACAAAGACCACTAATTGGCGGCCTCTTGTGGAATTAGTAGACTAGAATAATCAGGATAGGAATGTATTTGCTCTCTTGATATCTCTTCAAATTTGCCTAAATGCGGGATCGCCCTAATGCTCTATAAATGAGTAATGCTGGGAGCCGAAATGATAATGAGCATACTCCATACATTTGCAGTCTGTACCAAATCAGATGAGTCATCCTACTTATGAAAATGAAGCATACGTGTGTTCGACTTCGTCCGTGAATAATTAAATATCATTATTTTCAAGGATTTCTCTTACACCGCCGTGCAAATGACTATGAGATATAGAATAAATCATTCAAACGTCTTGGTCTCTGAGAGAGGGAGCACCTTCCAATATGATGCTATCAAACTCGAATTATTGACAGTGATGAGAGTGTTAATGACAGACTAACTCATAAATCAGTAAAACAATTTCTGGTTTTGCAATTTTGCTTGCTCTGATTCTAATGATTTGTTGAACAATATAAGAACAGAAACGTAATAATAATCTTACTTCAAGCACGAATCACACTTTTTTAATAAATCATAATATTATATATTATTATATAGATTATTCAAGTCAGTGCTTATCTGAGAAAAACTATTAGAGACAATATAACTGTTTAATGTTGAGAGCCCTACTGTGAAACATGTAGGTATCAACTGGCGTCGATCAGACTTAAATCCATCCTCATCGTAGTACTAGTAGTAATAGTAGCAGTAGCAGTAACTGCAGTACTACATGATATTATTATGACTTTGTTAGTAGTAGAAGTAGTTGAAATTGATACCCAACTTCTCAGTTTCAACACCTCTCCTCCCCCTCCTCCTCCTCCTCCTCTTTAATGCAGCTCACAACCTCATTATCACCTCCTCTCTCTGTCTGTTCTATACCACTTCCACACCACTTACTAAAGCAGTGCTTCTGGATAGCAAAGAAGAGCAGCTGCACGAACTCTATGAGAGTGAAAACACTGGCACCCAAGAAGAGACCCAACACTCCCCCGATGTCTCCGAGTAGGTTTGCGGAGGTGTACGTTACTACCTAGTGGGGTTACTTTCACAATGAAATGAGTTTGTTAATTCTCCTATTATGATAATGGGAGATAAGAACGAGAGATAATATGGAAAGCGAGATAAGAGTGTTTTAGAAGGACGAGAGAATGAGCAGCGTTGCTATTTAAACTAATTTACTTTTGCCAATTTAGCGGACCTGTTTGATTTCGGAAGTGACCATGCTGGAGAAGAGAACTTCCAAAGCCATCACATTATCATGAATATCTTGTTGGCTTTCGTACGTGATATTTAGCTTTGGGTGGGAGAAATCACGCAAGTATCCTAAAATAATGTGAAAATATTAACAATTTTATGGATTTTTTCCTGGATAAGTAAGATCTTAAATTTCTAGCTAATAGTTGCGTCTGGAGTTCTGAAAATGAGGATATTGATTATTGATAGATATTAAGTACCGCAACCACTGTACGAGACTCATCAGGTACCTTTTATCATGGGAAAAGAGTACATCAGCTTGGTGTATTCATGTGAGAGAGACGAACTTGACAGCTGGGCTTCGTAGCTGAAACGTAGATTATGCAATTAATAGCGTGGCCATTATTTTGATCAATTTAAGAATTTTCAAGTTGTTAAAAGTTAAAACACAATCTGTGAGTTACCCTTAACCTTCGTTACTTGCTTCATTTACTCACTGTGTCTCGCTACAAGCACTTGAACAAGGACAGATATTTTCTACCAGGTCAGGATTAGTAAATTCCTCGTTGAATTCCATGTAAGCCTTGAGGCCACACTGTGCCCACTGTTTCAAAGTGCAGGATTGGTAGCCCAGGTTGTTGAGTGGAGGTTCAATGTTCACACACCCGCACGTATCGTTCAAATACCTGGGAAAAATCCTGATAAAATGTGTATCTTGAAGCAAATGACACACTAGGTTGAGTTAGGATCACTTGGTGAGGTGAGAGAACTCATTCTCCTTTTTATGATAATAACTGAACCAAATTTCATTGTCTGTCACCTCAATCCAATTTAACTTTACGGACACAAACCTGTCCTTACACTCCAAAATACAACTCCCTTCATCGTACGCTCCATAAGTTGTATTTACAAGGGAAGCGTTACATTTCCCGCCGGGTGGTGGCTCTCTCATCTCTTTTTTCAGTCGGAGATCAACCTAAAAATCCAGGCACATGATATTATCCTGGCTCAGAAGTTATATCTACTTCTAAAGTTGTCTTATTTACCTCAAAAGCCTAATCAATTAACGAAGAATGACTGTGTACTAGATTTCAAGGGCGAATAGGTACAATGCCGACCAGCTGTTTGAGGGCTGTTTGTCGGCTGTAAGCCCTCTAACAGCCGGCTGGTATTGTTCTTATTTGCCGATTTAAAGTATTTAAACCTTGTAGATTGATCCAGGGCTCATGTAGTACCCCGAGCTGATCGTCACACCGTAGGTTCTGTTATCATGAAACGCTACTGTGAAACCGTACTGTGGCTGATCCGCGGACCTAAGTTTAATTAATATTTATCAATTAGAGGATATTTTAAGCCTTCGATAAGATTTATATTTTTCGTTACCTAATATTTATAGGTATAACTGAAGCTTCTATCAGTACACATACAAGAAAAGACGTGCAAAAGTTAATAATTCAGGTGATGAATAAACCGTGCACTGTAATCTTTGAGGTCTGCGAACATGAGAATCAACATTTTCCCGTAATCTCCACTCTTACCACGGATCAACCCAGCAGGGTTTACTCTCCAACACACTCCTGACAGTTAGAAACTATTTAAAAAATATGTACATATATTTAATTAAATTTATTACTGTTCAGCAAGAAGTTGGGATAAAAGTAGTCAATGAATACTATTGCACAAGAAGAAATTTTGGGTGAAGTTGGTTAGAATCAGAGTTCACACCAACATTACCTACTTACCTGTACTGGTGACATCTCTAGTGAAGTAGTCCTCCTGAACGTAGTGTACCCATTTCTGGCACATAGCAGCACGTTGCTGACACATCAAAAACCTGTTGTCGTCAGGACCCCCTGCTGCTATCAGATCCTGCACAATTTGTAGTTGATTAATTAGTTAATTGATTTTTTATTAATTAATTTACTTCGAGCAAACGTCGTGGGAGTCTGGTTTAGTTGTTCAACAGTACAAAAACATGCTGTCTAATTTTAAATAATATTTTCGGTGACAGAAAACACGAGGATCCCAACGTGGAGACGTTTAGTTTACAAGTTAAAATACCAAGAGTAGTCGTGGATACGTGTTACCAACAAAAAGATCTTTTACTCGGAATTCCAAATGGGATGGTCAAATGAATGTCTCCAGTTTCACTTTTCCAGACTATTCGAAATTGTACGTGATAAAAACTAAAGCAGAATAGCTACAAGATCTAAAATCCCGCAAAACAAATCAATTAATTAGCTTAATTAAATAAATCAATGAATCTAATTCACAATACCTGGTATGTCATATCCTGTATTTTAGACATGGCTGGATTGGTCCAGTTAATGTTTTCAACCAGGGACACGTCGTACTGATCAAGTGTATCCCAGTATTGGCGTATTGCCTCGTTCCCTTCTTTGTGCAGAAAACTATCGGGAAATTAATAGTTAAACTTAAGTAGTTTTCAGATGGTACGGGTAGTGAGCCCGGAAATATGTAGAAACAAAGACAGAAGAGTCATCTCTAATGTGACACAAACGATGCAAGTCCCATTCCCCAATTATTCTGTAACAAAATCCATTCCTCTCAATCTTGCACTTAAACAGTTATTTTAGCGAATAAAATAATGTTTAATGGCTCCTGTAACTAACCTCTTCTTGACTTTGTTGTGACTGCAGATGGAGATGGTCGGAAATTTAATAGACTGTGGTTTAGAACCCTCGACATCGTTAACCAGTACTTCATATTTAGTGCCAGTTGGTTTGTGGATGAAGGTAACAATTGACGTCATTATCATGTAGAATGTGTACACCACACACGCAATCCACACCAGAAGGAATAGAAGCCTTGACAGAAATGAATCAGTTATTAATTAAGAGGTGATTCAAGTATTACAGCTAGGAATGATTAAATCCGAACTTTTAAAATAAGAATTGCGCATAAAGTCGATAAATATTTTAATCCTCCTTTTAACATTTAATTTAACATTTACGTAATTTAACATCTAATTTTAACATTTGATTCTTCAAACCTCACAAATTTGTTCCTTCCAATAAAGATGTGGTTGACTCCATGAGCTGTTGTAGAACCGGCAAATATCTTGAAATCTGTAACCCAGTTTTTGGATTTCCAGAGTTCCATTTTCTCCATAACCCGCACAGTATTTTTAGCTTTCCTGCTTTGAAGTACAGTAAAACCGATTGAATAAATGAACTTTTCATACTTCAAGAATGTGGTATACAAATTCCCTGAAAGTAATAATACAATCGTGAACTTAAATGATGTGATCCAGTTAGATGCATTTGATTAAGTTATTTTAAGTTCCCATCAAATCTTAAAATGGTCACAATTGAGTTGGATTGATCAGGAATCACTAAGATAACATTACCAAAGACAACCAGAACATACCGATTGGATTGCTTTTAAATGGGTAGTTGATTATGGGCCGGATATCATGATAATATGAATAATATGAATGTTATTTCTATGGAATAATGTCAGTGGAATATTAGTCGGTTAGGAACTGACGGGAACCGTCTTTTTCCGCAGATTAACAGGCGCGGCGAGTAGTTTTAAATTAACATATATTTCATTATCAATCGTGGTATTATTGAAATATCTACTGATAATACACTGTATAATATATTTGTATTTGTTAATCAGAATATCAAGCTAAAACACTTACAAAAAATTAATCTACGTCAGGTGAACTTTGTTTTTCGGGAATGTGTTGAAGATTTGTCTTATAATTTAAGCAAAAACGGTGCAATCTGGTTCAAATACAAGTTAATGTCGAAAAGAACCGGTTCAGTTTTCAGTTCTAAAGATTACAGCTTATTTGGATATTTGGGATCGACCTGAGCTTGATACCACCTCTTACATACACTTTGTCAATAGCTATTATTTCAAACAAGTGAAACAACTAATTAAAACAAATAATTAAAACAAATAATTAAAACAAATAATTAAAACAAATAATTAAAACAAATAATTAAAACAAATAGTTAAAACAAATAATTAAAACAAAAGAACGCCTAAACAATAGGAGAGCCCAGTACTCCAACTTACAGGCCTAATACCTTACTCGGGATTATTATGACCGGGATAAAGTGGCGGGTTTAGGGTAATTTCGCCATATTTTTCCCGAACCACATTTTCACCGGTCGTTAATAAACCCGCCGACTCAGCTTTTAGGGTTCCCAAGGGGTATGGGTGCTCATATTTTAATCGTTGTCTTATATTCACTAAAGAAGACTATTGGGACACTTGTTGTAGGTTTTTCGACTTCATTTGGCAAAAAATTGCAAAAAATTCACCTTTTTGCCCAATTCTTGTCATATATCCTGTAAATTGTCAAAGTTGATTTAAATAGGCCAATTTTTAATTTCTTAGGTATTGACTATCTCTACATAATGAAATAGGACTCAAAGTAAAAGTAACAGTTAAATTAAAACTGTCAATAACATGAATCAGTTTCATCAGTCATCTATATTATAATTCTAAACAATGTGAACGATGCATTCTTTCAAAGTTTTATTAACCACGAGTCATTATTTCTGTCTACTTTCAAAAATTATTATCTAAAATTGAAAGGTTGGACACCGGTAAAATGGCGACCGGGAAAATGTGGTGGGTTTTGAGCAATTTCGCCATATTTTTCCCGAACCATATTTTAACCGGTCGTTAATAAACCCGTCGTAATAATCCCGAGTAAGGTAGATTAATTTAAGTTTTGTTCGATTAATTGAATACAATTGATCAGGTTTGAGAAATATTTTTCTTGACCATAATGCATTCGATATTAAGAGAGTATGAGATCAATATCAAACCAGACCAAACTTAATGAGAAACAGATGGATTAATTAGTATTTTTTGATTTCTTCCTGATGACTAGTTGACCGGATTGATTGAAGTCAGTAATAGGTTGGTAGCAAAATTACAGCTCGAGTCAGTAAATTTATTCCAATAGAATGCAGCATTTGTTCATGGCCGTATCAACATTCTCTAATGAATATTTCCGGGTGCGTGACAGTGTATGGAATTCGTGATAGTGCGTGATAGTGCATGGAACATATCGTTTAGATGATTTCATTACAGAGTTATTGCACAGTCACAATGCCACATAAATGCTTACGAAAAGTTTGACGAGACAAAGGATTTGTATTTAATGCATTTAGCTATATTTTAGAAATATGATAATTAATTCGTAAGTAGTCAATATCAGGACATTTTAATTGATCCAAAAATGGAGAAGTTATTGATTTATTATCCTCAATTTTTGTTGCATAAGTAAGTTTCAGTCTTTGCTGATTTTCTGATCCAAGAAAATAGTCTTAGGAGTGAAACACAAATTAATGAAAACCACAAGATTATAATGTTATGTACAGTCGATTAAATTGAATGCACAGCAGTCTTCTTTAATTAAGTAAGGTTCACGGGTAAAATGTTCACGGGTAAAATGTAAAATTAAATAACTTGAAAGATCTGGTTCAGTCAAATTGTTTATTTAAATGCGAATGGAAAATGATTGTATTTAAGATAGGTAAAAATTTGAAAGTCTGAACGTTCACGTTGCTTAAAGAGGAGCTCAGCTAGTCGCTAAAATTAAAACTCATCGCAGCAAAGGAAATATGACTTCATTTTGTATACCGTTCATACTACGTACAAATAGTATGAAGGTTATTCTAGTTCAGAGTTCAAATCCCAATTCCATTGCCTCCTTCCACCTTAAAAGTTGGTGTGTTCTCATTTCGATCCTTTTCTTTCTCATCTTTACCACTTCCACACCACTTACTAATGCAGTTTTTCTGGATAGCAAAGAACAGCAGCTGCACGAATTCTATGAGAGTAAAAACACTGGCACCCATGAAGAGACCGAGAACTCCACCGATGTCTCCGAGTAGGTTTGCGGAGGTGTACGTTACTACCTAGTATGATAGAGGGCATTTAATGTCAAACCCATTACTTGCCGACTAAAGTGCCGTCAGAAAACTTCTAATCTTTCAGTAACTCTCAATAATCACACAAAAGTATTCAAAACTCTTTAATTTTTCTGAGATAATTTCTAAGATAATCTAGACTCTTATCTTTAATTAATTGGCCAATTAAACGAACCTCTCTTATTTCAGAGGTGCTCATACTAGTGAAAAGGACTTCTATGATCACCATATTGTCCCGAATATCTTCTTCGCTCTTGTATGTAAAATTGAGCTCTGGATGTGAGAATGCTGCCAACATTCCTGATTTTCATGAGATTATGTATATTTTTAAAAACTAATAACAACACTACAAATCTATTGCATTTATTGAGGACGTTACAGCAGGAATTAATTTAATGTAGTTTGAGGAGTCCTCACGTCCAACAATGGCGTTTCTCTTGTCGCTAATATGATAATAATATGATTCCTGTATCTAGGGCTTCGTTAACTTTTTTACGATTTGTCATTGCGTTCACAGACTTTCGATCTATAGATTTATAGAATTACTTAAATGGTAACAAATATTCATCTTTTTGGCACCTTTTATATCTGGACTTTTGTGTAAGCTCTTGGTATAACCTTTAGAGACTGAAGAGCTTGACATCTGAGCCTCGTAGCTGAAAAGAAACTTATTCGAAACGATAAATTGAATTGATCACGAATGTGATTAATGTATCTTCGCGTCACAATAAAACATACTGTCACGACTTCAGTACCTAATTAATTCAGTCTAGAAAATGATGAGCAATCTTATCTTTGCTAAATAATGTTAATTACGTACAACATAATAGGTTTATCATAATTTGGTAACAATCTTGGCCCCTGAGGGACTGAAATGGTTACCAGGTTACCGGGTTACCAGGTTACCAGGTTACCAGGTTACCGGGTTAGCTGAGATGCTCTGTTTACTCACTGTGTTTCCAAACAAGCACTCTGACAAGTACATAGTTCTTCTTCAAGGTCTGGGTTCATATACGCCGTGTTGAAGTTCAAGTAGGCCTCCAGGCCACACTGTGCCCACTGTTTCAAAGTGCAGGATTGGTAGCCCAGGTTGTTGAGTGGAGGTTCAATATTCACACACCCGCACGTATCGTTTACAAACCTGAAAAAATGCCGATTTGAAAATAGACAGAATGGACGTGTGCTCTGAATTTGAAGCAGTTATCAGCATGCTCTGGAGCTCTGGACTATTTTTTATATTAATATCATTAATAAATATGTTCTTGTTTGTGCCTGCTACGTTTCATTTTTTACGAGAAATGGCGTAAGTAATTTTATTTAACGTTACAGCTGCTGAACCTTAGTCAGATACGGCGGCGTACAGTTTTGCCCAGATTTATTATTCACATCAAATTTAAAATAGTAATAGCTGACCTGTCTTTACATTCCAAGACGCAACTCCCTTCATCGTATGCCCCATAAGTTGTATTTACAAGGGAAGCGTTACATTTCCCGCCGGGTGGTGGTTCTCTCATCTCCTTCTTCAGTCGGAGATCAACCTGAAAATTAATGCTGCTGTTAGGTCGTTACAGAGTCCGATTCAGAAGAGTTTGCGCCCAAAACTCCAAAATTAATGGGATGATGATAATTTTATCTTTATAGACAGCTTTAGTTTATTCAGAGGAAAATTTAAAAAAACAGAAACCCGAACAATGAAATGTAATATTATTTAGTGAGTATCCCAACCTTGTATATTGAACCGGGGCTCATGTAGTACCCAGAGCTTTTTGTGACTCCATACGTGGTGTTATCATGGAATGAAACAATAAAACCGTGCTGCGCCTGATCTGTTGCTCTGGACCAATTAGAATTTTATTAATTCGGAGTGTTTGTAACTAATGGTAACTATAAATTAAGGTAACTAAGGTAACTAAGGTAACTAAGGTTGGACATAATGAAGCAATTCGATTCATCTTAGTACTAAAATGTGACGGGTGCCTCATGGCCCATATATATAAAAGGTGACAAGTGATTTTTACCGAGTTAAAAATCAAGATATTTTACAAACCGCAAGCTGTAATCTTTGGTGTCTGCAAACATCATTATTGTCATTTTCCCGTAATCTCCACCTTTGCCCTTTATCAGCCCAGCAGGGTTTATCCTCCAACACTTACCTGTCAGCGTTGAAATAGTTGAAATAATGCTAAAATAGTTGATCCTCGCGTGTGATAGAAACACAAATTAATGAGAGGCAATTCTATAATTATACAAGTCGTGAACGCCGGTATGTGCAGTATGTACAGTATGTGCTGTATGTGATTGTGGATAAGATTTCTCGATCCGTACTTATGATTTTAAAATATCAAATCGACCATTAAATTATTTAATTAGCCACCTGTCACAACAATATAGATTTTATCATTATGGTGATCAAAAGTTAGTGTGGATTTGATTACCTGTACTGGTGACATCTCTAGTGAAGTAGTCCTCCTGAACGTAGTGTACCCATTTCTGGCACAAAGCAGCACGTTGCTGACACATCAAAAACCTGTTGTCGTCAGGACCCCCTGCTGCTATCAGATCCTGCACAATAAAGTTAAATAATTAGTTAATTAATTAGCTATCAGATCCTGTGTAGTCATGAGAATTGATTATAAATATAAGGGCTTTTTTGGGCTGTAATGGGTGGAAATTTAAAAACTGTCATTATTGTAATCAAATGTCCCGAGAGAGCACAAATTACAAACGGATCAATGTCATTAGCTAGATATTACCTGGTAAGTCATGTCCTGTATTTTGACCATATTTGGGTCGGTCCAATTAATGTTTGCAGCCTTTTCCACGTCATACTGATCAACTGTTTCCCAATAATCGTGTAAAGGCTCGTTTCCTTCTTGGTGCAGAAAACTAAGAAACATTTATTTTTACTGAAACTGGTTTCTCGAAGAAGAAAGAAACGTTATCATAGTTTTTCTGAGATGTTTAATGTTTATGCCATATAATTATAAAAATGAGCCCTGCATATATGAGAAGGTTTTATAAAAAAGTATGGAAGGATCAACATTTTTCTCGAATACCAACGGCAGAAAACAGCTCACATTTACCTTTTCTTGACCTTGTTGTGACTGCAGATGGATATGGTTGGAAACTTGATAGACTGTGGCTTGGTACCATTATCTCCCTCGTTTAGCACCACTTCATACTTAGTACCAGTTGGTTTGTCGAAGAAGATAATAACTGATGATGTTATTATGTAGGTGCTGTATATGACACAGGCAGCCCATGCTAGGAGGAACAATAGCCTGGCGGAGATAGCTGATATTTAGCTGAGTTTTTCTGGTCACCGTAAATTTTGTTTTCGTAACTATATTTATTCAGGACGTTGTACAGAAGGAATTAATTGAATGTAGTTTGAGGAGTCCTCACTCTCCTCACGTCTGAAAATGATGTTTCTCTTGTCGCTAATATAAGTAGATACCTATATGTTGGCTCTGACTGGTGATGATGTTTATCATGTTAGTGATTGAAAATATGGTATGAATTAATAAGTTTTAATTTTCTCCAGAAAGCTCAAATTATCATAATTAAACGTGAAATTCCATTTTTACAGCGGTTCATATTGTATTATCCACAAATTAACCAATCAATGAGGTCGAATAAGATATTCCTTGATAGTTTAAATCTATTGTCGGTATATGTGTTACTAGGATATTCCTCGTGATAATTGTTAGTAGATTTATAGGAAATCACGCAATAATCGGAAACAAATAGAATCAGTCGTTAGTTCCGCATATTATTGCAATGACACAAATAACATAGCATTGGATACTTAAATTTGTCTAAGCGGTGGTACTGTTTACTTCCAAATCATGTTTCTATCATTTTCATACCAGAGGATACAAAATTTCGGAATTCTTTGTCATTTCCCTAACGATTTACCGCCAGCCGCCATTGTTAATTAATGATACCTCTACGATTTTCTAAATGTACATCTGCGCAAGGGGGGCTATTCACTATTCAATAGATGATGTAATCGTGACAGGTGCTTATTTAAGAATATTGGACGATGTTTAAGTAAGTACTAGTAGAGTATCGTGCCTCAATGAATGTACAGCATATCATTAATATTTCTGAACTCCTTGTTGATTTATTCATGATAGATTGCACTATTATACACCGGATGCCTATTCATCTATTCTCCTCTCTAGTGATGGTGTGTGCTCGGGTTCAAAATTAGCATGACGTGATGGGTGCAAATTGAGATAAATATTATCACAATTTACGGACAAACATTCCACACACCTCACGAATTTGTTTCTCCCCTCAAATATCTGGTTAACTCCATGAGCGGTGGTTGTCCCGGCGAATAACTTGAAGTCTGTCACCCAACTGTTGGACTTCAACTGTTCTATCTGTTCCATAACTCCCGTACCTGTGTACTGTAACAGTGTTTTAGTTAGAAGTGTTACTGTAACAGTGTAACAGTTGTGTACCTACTGTAACAGTGTTTTAGTTTAAAGAAGTGTTACTGTAACAGTGTAATAGTTGTGTACTGTAACAGTGTTTTAGTTAGAAGTGTTACTGTAACAGTGTAACAGTTGTGTACTGTAACAGTGTTTTAGTTAGAAAAATGGAACGCTCCTTCTGGTATCCACCACTTTTGACTCCGGATTTTCAAGTAGGACTATCGAAATTCTGTAAACAAAACTTTTGACATTCCGAACAACGAATCAAAATTTCTAGACTATTTTAACTAGTGCAGCACGTTCATACAACTACAAAGTGTGCACTGACGATTTCGTTTGTAAATATTACAGACAGTTTCCCGATCAATTTCGAGATAATGGAACAATCTCATAATCAACATTGAACCAAATTGGGAAAGTCCGATCTGGTACGGTATAAATAAAAGTGACAGATGCACGTCGGTTTCATATTATATATATATATAATATACTACTTGCACTTGTGTAGGTCGGTAGAAGCATTAGAATCGGGTGTTGCCTGCTACAGGCTATCCCGGATTTAGAGGCTTGCTTTAATAGTTTAATTATAATAATACTAAAGTTCTAAATAAGGTGTCGTTCACATAATATTATTACGTAATCACTTTATAGACAATTTTCAACCCCTTCCCCCCTCCGTAATCATTTTTACACAAAGCTATAACTCTATAATGTCAAAATTACGCTAGCGTAATCATTTGGAAACCCCCTCCCCCTTCGGCTGATTACGTAATAATATATGAAAGACCCCTCACAGATAGTATAAACACAAGAACGCTGCTATCTTTCTCTAAAAACAGAATCATAAAGCTTGCATTCTGCGCAAATCTGTTCTGTCAAAAGCAATATTCCTAAGATTTCCGGTTTCAAGTGATGTAAACTGAAGAAATGGCATCACAAAAACTAGGCAAGCTCAGTGTCATTGGGCGGCAACAAGTATCCGGCAAAAAGGTCACGCATTTCCTCTGCTGGCGATGTCACTAGTCTGATGGGCGTGCGCTGTTATCTGGGCTAGGTGTTGACTAGTAAACCTATATAGAATATAGATCCGGGATGTAGACGTCTAAGTGAGGCGCGCTAGGATAAGGGACAGCTACCGACCTATCAAGGAGTAAGCCTAGTGTCCCGGAAAAGGAGACGAGATTGTTAAAATGGCAGGTAGGTAGAATATGGCAGAAGGAACGAGCGTGAGTCAGCTGCTATTTACTGCCATTTAATAATTCTTTCACTAAAATTTCTGATATGTGGCGATGTGTTTAAGTAATTAAAGAAAATAGTTTTCTCTTTACTTATTAACAGCTTATCGGCATACCATGACACCGTGCCGTTACAACTGTTATGCTAACGATAAAGTTTTACACGAAAATTATCTAGTTTTAACAAATTTGACATTCACTTACAATTACAATTGAATAAAATAAATGTTTCGTGTTATTCTAAATAGAACGGTGGGACTAAATCGTACGATTAAATTTTCATAATACTAAACAGAATGCTGTGTTGGAGCTTTAATATTCAAACTTTGTTGTTGAAAAAATGTATTGTACAAAGAATTTTTCGCGTTCTTTTTTCGCGACATTTTTCGCATCACGGAAATTTTGTGGCAGAATTGGACAAATGCAAATGTTTCGCTTTAAAAAAATTTATCAAGTTTTTTTACTCTCTATCAAAGGGTTATGAAACTTTATAAAAAAGTGACGGAGATATTTGAATAAAAGTATCAAAATTTAATGAAAAAATAAGAAACGTGCCAAATGTAACCTACTCCTTCATAATATAGTAATACATTCTAGTCCTATTATCGCGAGCGATATCTAGAAACAGATCTATACCAGCAAGCTTGACGAGACAAGTAATGTAGTAAATGTGGTTGGAACGAGGTATATAATGACGGGTATAAGAGTTTGGGTACCATCATGCTAATGATGATGCCGTCATGCTAATGAAGCTGTCTCTCCCATGTAATATATTATAATAGTTGCCAGTTGGTCATTGGTCTCTGGTAACGTTTGGATAACTTTTAAAATATTGGGTGGCATACTCTTGTAATGGTCGGCTTGGTTTTCTTGTAGAAGTTTTCCGAGTCATGCTGGTTTAAAGCATTAAATTCGCGTTTCATCGCGAAAAATTATCAATGTTATCGTATCAATTCCAGAAGAACCATAATTTATAAACAGTTGTTGCATAGTCGCATAATTTGCGGCGTATTTTCTTGTAGTGTTGCATACCTTACTCGGGATTATTATGACCGGGATAAAGTGGTGGGTTTAGGGTAATTTCGCCATATTTTTCCCGAACCACATTTTCACCGGTCGTTAATAAACCCGCCTACTCAGCTTTTAGGGTTCCCAAGGGGTATGGGTTCTCATATTTTAATCGTTGTCTTATATTCACTAAAAAAGACTATTGGGACACTTGTTGTAGGTTTTTCGACTTCATTTGGCTAAAATTGCAAAAAATTCACCTTTTTGCCCAATTCTTGTCATATATCCTTATTGTCAAATTTGATTTAAATAGGCCAATTTTTAATTTCTTAGGTATTGACTATCTCTACATAATGAAATAGGACTCAAAGTAAAAGTAACAGTTAAATTAAAACTTGAATTAATTAAAACTGATGAAAGGGATGATCCAGATGAAGATAACGAAGATGATTACAACTTATTGGAAGACTAAACAGCTCTCCCTTTATCTTAATATCGATCTGGTTGTTACGCTTCAAATGTTAAAAATTATTTTCCATCTAGTTTGATTAACCACTGTCTACTTTCAACAATTATTGATAATTCTACTTGTTTCACAAGTTTTAGCAATGCGAAAATTTCTAAACTTGCTTATCTCTAATAAGGAAATTTACGTCTGAGACAAAATTTTTGAATCTAAAATTGAAAGGTTGGACACCGGTAAAATGGCGACCGGGAAAATGTGGTGGGTTTTGAGCAATTTCGCCATATTTTTCCCGAACCATATTTTAACCGGTCGTTAATAAACCCGTCGTAATAATCCCGAGTAAAGGTAGTCTGACTTTATCGGTGTTATCATCTTTATGAGTAGTATAATACAGGGTCTGGTATAATTAGACCCTAATTAGATATTAGTTGCACGTGTCATAATTAATGAATTAAACATGGTGACTGGTGCTGAAGATCAAGACGTGTCGGTGGTTCATAAGTTAAGGGCTCAAGAGTCAAGGTATGGAGATTTTGTGGTGTGGGGGTTAATTAAAAATGATTAATTAATAATTATTATATTATTATCATTATATATTATATAATTATGACTATTATGCAAGTTGTTATTGACGTTATTCCAAGGGTTGTGGATCACTGAACTAAGGATTAAATATGGCATCTACCCTCATAAGTGTGGAAATAACCGTGAAATAAGCATAAACATGGGGGTAATCGGGAAGCCTCTTGGAAATATGTACTAGCTAACAGAACTTAAGATTTATGTACAACAATTTTACAGAATTAAAAAATCAGCCTACAACACACAGACATACACTAGTTCGTTAAACATGTTTTTAGTTAACAGATTGAATTGCATAATATACCTGAATGTTGTGAGTGATCGTTTCAACAACCGATTTTCTCCGATCTTTTCTAACAGGTTTCTCCATTTATAATAACTTGTAATGAGAGGAATTTGTTACATGTTTAGTCTGGACAATAGAAGTTGGATTACACACATTGTAACGAAGAGTTCTCGACTGATAATTATTTTTAATGAAACTCTTTTGATCCCTGATTGATTGAGTAATAATATTTAAGTAATGGCTAGGGTCAGTACTAAGGGTAGGTTTGAAGTTAACTATTTGGGGCACGTGGTAGTGGGTTAGAAAGAATGGAGCTGTCGACACACCCTATAATCGGCTTAAATTTGGTCGGCTAAAACGCGGGCGGATGTTGTAGAAGTAGTCTAAACAGTCTAAGAATGGGAGTCATTTTATTGAACTAAATCGATAATTTAATTTCAAGCTTCAATTTTGACAGTGTCGCCATTGAACAGTGCATACTAAACAGTATAATTATTATTGAGAAAAGATATAATACCTGCGTAGCAAAACCCCAAGTTTTCTGATGTTATCTTTGGAGTAAGGTCCCAAAAGCTAAATTAATTCTGAGAAATGATATCTGTTTAAAGACTATAAATCGTACGATCACAGGTATCTGGTATAGTATAATTAACCAAAATGGTATACGAAAGCAAACTGTATGGCGTTGGAATTAGCATATCATTATTATGGCATGCATATTTATGCCGCCTCGTTCACCAGAATACACAAATACTTCAGCAATGTTCACGTTACAAAGGTGTAATTTTAAGTAAAACAGCCCCACGCTTAAACGCGGGCAATATTGTTCCATTGTTCGGAACACGTGAATAACATGTTCCAATCCGTACTTTAGACTCATGATGCAAGTCTGGTATGTGAGGTTACAAGGTGAGGTGTGAACGAGATTTGTTCAAACAAAAGACTGACTAACAGGAAGTTTTTATTAAAATTTCTAAACAATGGCATGCAGGGATCCTCGTTTTACAGGTATAAAAAGTCACCAGTTAATATATAACTTTGCCTTATATTAACTTTTCAGGCTGTTGGATTCGATAAAACTACGCAGATAATACTTCAAAAAATGCGGATGGTCTTGAATATGAGCAGAGTCTAAAACAAGTTGTGTTATGATGTCCTTTTAATCGAAAACTGTTCAAACTGTATAGAAGACGTTAACCGTACATCATTGTTCCATCATTGTGCCATAATTGTGCCATCATTATGCCTGTTCATCGTGGCTTACATCGACTAAGTTAATATTAAGTTAGGCCAAAAATTAAATTATAACAAATCCACATTCATATGCATAAAAATTTTCGTCCTATCACAAAACGCTATGTCTAAAACATTTTAATTTTGGGCCATAATATT